GTCCCGGCTCCCCGGGCCCTCTGTACAACATCCGCAGGCTGCGGGCTCAAAACAGACCCTCAGGTTTCCACATAGCCTGGGGCAGGCGGGCAGTTGTGTCTAAACTGGTTTCTTCTCATTCTGGGTCACAATTATAGGGATGTGCCACAAAGAACCAGTAGCAGGACTGGGGCCAAGAGCAAACAGCAGGAAACAGTGGAAGTCATCAATCTGTTGTCACGGAAAAGCATTAGGAGTGTTCTTACACGTGCAGGGTGCCGATTGCAAGTTGACAATAAAATATTCAAAAGTAGGGCTGTCATATTCTCACCTGCAGTCAGGTCTCTTATCGCGGCTTTTTTATTTCAGAATACAAGAAGCATGCGCATAAAACTAAAGAAAATTTATTAAGTCAGTGTCTGCTTGGGCTTTTATAGCTAAGGTCATGTCATCTTTTTTATTTTTTTTTTTCCTCCAAGGAACAAGTATTAATAAACTCAAAGAATGCACCATGGGAAAGTACATCCCAGTTTTAATTATGTCATATAGTAGTGGGCACAGTCACGATAAGTTTATACAGTCAAGCTCTCTGTACACTGAACTTGCTGATCAACTGCAACCAAATCTGATGGAGAAATCACAGTGATACTCAGTTCTCTGAAGTTTTAGGCAAAACTGGCTGTGTAAAGGAGGGAGCTTCTGTTACTACCCCAGTGAAGAAAAGGCTTAGCATGTGCTGAGCTGCTCCTAAACAGGGGAGAAATGGGCAAGAAGGGTGTTATGAGTGTTGCAGTCAAGGGAGAAGCTTAGGCTTAGTTTGGTGCTTGTATCTCATTAAATGCCAGAGAATCTCACAAGAGCCACAAATCYGCTGAAACCAAGCTTCATTAGAATTGTTGACTTAGATCTATTTGTTGATGCTCTTATCATTTGCTTCACCTTCACTTTGATGTTTCAGGACACATTTACAAACCCATCATAGCAAGTTAGCTTAAGCCTGAACCTAAGTTTACAGCAATTTTCTAAATCGGCATAGTCAGCTTCTTGAGTCAGGAGCTTGAAAAGAAAATTATGATTATTTTTATGCATAACTAAAATCCTAATCCCATAATTTTTATGGGTCCACAACCGTGGCACTTGAACTCCAACAAAAAGGGCACCAGACTTCCATACCATTACCTCTAACACCCTTTGACAATGAAAGGTGTTATTAGAGCTTTAGATATGCAGTACCCAGTATTAGTTTCCCTTCATCTCAAAATGAGTTAATGCAGCCATCATTTTGAGCAGGCAGTATTTAAGGACAGGTTTGTATCACAGTCTTGTCAAATTTAAAGCAGCCTTTAAAACTCAGCATAGAATTTTGCACCTGTATTTATCCGAATCCATAAAAGCACGAGTACAATTCCTTGCAAATACAAAATATCAATTTCAGCAACAAAGACTTATAGTAAAGAACTCCATCTTCTCTTATTTTGTCTTTGAAAACAGTGAAGACCCAATTAATTGCCGACAGAAGACTGCAAGTGTGGTTTCGGATGATGCATTGTGTCTAAATCCTGCCTGTTTCTACAGGTGTGAGTGCCGGTTTGTGGGAAGAGAGAGACAGGGAGAAAGGAAGATTAATTGTAAAGCTCTTGTAATCACTGTTACCAAACCGCAAATGGAAGCCCTGAAGTCTGTTCTGCATTTCCTTCCTTGATTTCTTTTGATGTTATGCAGAAACCAATAGACATTGCATAATGGAATCAGAATAACAGGAACTCCTGCAAAGCTGGGCTCACAGGCACAACATACAAAAACCTGTGAATCGGGCTGGAATCGCTTCAAAATACCGAGCTCTAAGAAGTACTAAATGGCTAGGCAACACTTTTGTGTACTTTAAGTGGGTGTTACAGTTCCGATTTTGTTTTAACGTTATGGACTGAATTCTGCTTACATTGCTTTTATGGCAGTCCTTTCAAAAGGAACCGGGAGTGCAAGCACAATTAGCTTCTCTCATTACTCTTAGCAATAACAAATAGATAATGTGCTGATTACCTTAGGAAAACACTAGGTTGCCTAAACCTCTAATAGTCTATAAACAGTTAAGTCCCTGAGTAAAATTAATATTCAGTGTAGTGATTACTACCCTGACATTGAAAACTAGAAGTAATATTACAACATAATCAGAGATTTTACAAACCATCCTTAAGTCAACTGATTTAGTTGTATRTATGTACACAAAGTTAGCTTCCCTTAAAATATAAGTGTCACGGAACAAGTGGTGGTGAGGATAAGTGACAAAACACACTTCACTTGTGTGGAAGAAATAGCAGTAATTTTTATTGATATGGACAATATTTTCATAAGACTCTATGGCAAGGCCACATGGGGTGCAAGAAACACACAGAATTATCAAGGAAACCCTCCCATTGAGTCACTGGGTTCAGATTAGACCTCCTTGCTTTCCAAACTCCTTCTGAAAGGAGTCTGGATGCATCTGGATCCARTCCTAGTCCCAGACCTGGTCAACAGTTTATGGCTAAGGAAATTTGTGCACAGTTATGTCAGTAAAGTTTACAAGTTCAGAAAGAGAGCGCATTATAGTCACTTACCACAAATCTGTTGGGATATGATAAGGATCTCTCAATCCAAAATAGTGTCCTTGAGAGGCATCTCTACTCAAGGAGAGCAGGGATTGCACTGCCACGCAAGGACTCCAGAGACTCTCCCATCTGTTCCCATACTTATGGGATAGGATGATGGACTTATAGTCATTCTTTCATTTCAGATAACTTTTGGCAGGTGTATGCTGAATTAGCCTTATCTCCCCATTAGGATGCAGCCATCAGGACTGTTGCTGATGGTTAATGTCTGARTGGGGGAAGAAATCAGGGAGGCGCCCAGCGGGATCAGATAATGTCACTGGGGTAAACACCTGTGGTTCTTGCACACAGAGTCTTTTAGCTTCTTTTGAAGGTTTCAAGTTTATAGACAACTATGTGATATAAGTTGCAATTATAGCATGTAATTAAACAATAACATTCTACATTTGGAAAAAAAAAATCATTTTTTATCTGAAAAAATCTGCAGAGCTTTTGAGAGAGATTGCTTGGGACCAGATATCTCAAGGAGTTCTGTGACTGAATCTTTTTCTTTCTTTCTCAGGTCCATGGTCTGCAGAAAGTTTTTCACAGGCAGAAACAACATTTACCAGACAGATTTCTACAAATGTAGCATCTGAGTTACTCCCCATCTTTAGTATGCAGGGTTCACCTGAGATTGGAATAGATTTTTTATAAAGAGGATACTGAAATGAAGGGAACTGTCCTCAGATTATATGCTAATGTATAAAGAGGAGATCTGTGGCCAGCTGCAGCATCTGCATTCAAGAAAGTCTTGAATGGTCACAGGAACCACAGAAAGCCTAATGGTGCCTAAACTTGGCATTTCAATGAATTCTCTGCATGGAAAGTGAGCACTGTGGGCACTGTGCAGTACTATTAAATGTCAAAATAAGTGTCCAAGTCTGTCTTAGACTCCTTGTGAATAGCTTCTATGTGGTCAAAAGGAATGAAATGCTACATGCATTAAAAAACTATCATCTAACAGTTACCTTATTCTTTGTAAGTGTCCATGCCTGGAAATTAGATCTTCAAAACATTTAACCAGGCCTAACCTGGCCTCAGTTACATGATCACAATATTTAACATCTGCTGGGGCTCCCAGTGCTGGGGGGCTCCACAGAAGAGATGTGGGCTCTTGGCTGGGGATAAGCTCTGTGTTTGCCTTGCATGCTGCCCACTGGCTRCCCGAGTGGCCTTACCCTCGCCAGGCTAAAGTTCTGGATGACTCCAGTGAGGCTGGGCTCTCARCTTGTGTATCGGGATGAGCGTGTGTCAGCCCCTAAGCACAGGGGCTTGAGAGAGGCAGTAAAAACTGGCACCAGAAGGATCCACTTTTGTTGTCGTTTTGAGGCTCCCTTTGCATCTGTTTTCTAGATATATATCCGGACAACCTATGGCTGAAAATGGGGTGAAACTACATGTACATCCTTCTGACAGAGACCTATTAGAGAGTGATAATGCATTTATTGGAGGTCAAGGTACGTATGCAGTAATCCATGAAAACCAAACCAAACCACCCCCGTAGAGTGCCCCGGGGTCCTGTTTCCTGTGGGACACACGATATGTGTTTGAAGAACATACATGGCATTGGCTGTGCACGCGGAGCGTCTGCAATCCGCTCAGGAGACTGCAGCACTGGAGATACGATACCGCGTCCTTCTCCCTTCCCTTATTCACAAAGGCATCAGTGAGGAAGGAGTGTAAGCTAAAACTGTGAAGCTCCTGGCATTCCCCTAGTTGTGCCACCACAACCGCAGCATTTGAACACTGTGAGCATTGTATGTACGAGCTTAAAAAAAAAATCTGATCTTGCACTTTTACCAGTCTTAGGAACTGTGAAGGGGGAAAAGGGGACAACCACACAACRCAGTGTATAACAAATCTCATTAAAATGCAGGAAGTGTATTCAGGATCCTAATTCTATTACAGCAGGGACAATGAATGTATTTGTGTTAGTTAGTTTCCCACTTTGAGGTTAAACAAATCAGTGAATGGAAATCTGGGTGGCAGCAGAAAGAGGTACTACAGATGATGATGCAGGCAGACAAATGCCAGGCGAAGGTTTTTTAAGAAAAGCACAAAACCCAACTTTTTCCCTGCCTTCCCATGACTTCCCACTAATTTGGAGTCTACGCATAGGTCTGAATGGTTCCTGCCTTTCCCTAATGCTTTCATTCAATAGCTTGGTTTGGAGGCTCACGTGATACATTTATCTCCGTGTCTGACTCTAGCAAAATATGCCTCATGTAGACAGTAGCTGAATAAGCCGCGGAACATTTGTTCCGTCTCATTCTGTATTAATATACCTCGCTGCCCCTAACGTTCCCATTTACAGTGATTACCAGATTGAATGACATACTGTATTTTCTCCACCAGTGCCACCGCAGGGTTTTCCCCCGCTGATTTGATTAACCTATCATACTGCTATTAAATTAAAACAAAAACCCTTTTAGATAATAATGCAGCTTGAGTTCCCAGCCTTTAGCCATTGTACCATCCATCTGTTGTTTGTAAGAGTCACTTTCCCTGAAGGGAGATGGTGTGTTGAGGCTGAATCTACCACCTGCCACTTTGTTCCTAAAAACCTCTTTCACTCCATGCTATGAATCAATACTATTGGGACACAGAAAGCTTTGTAGAAAACCTAAGGATTATATGATTAATCGGTTGGGCTTTCTGAAGACTAATCTTCATAGGTGAGGGACGCGGTGCCAGGACGCGTGGAGCAGGGAAAAAGGAGTATTCGTAATACGTGTCTCTGGCTGCCCCCAGCAGTGTAGATACAGGGTCATCCTACAGTTCTGAACATGGGGTGGCATCTGCCTGCCTGCCTCTCTTCTCCTCTGAGCACGATATCATCGCCAAAGCTGCAGTGAAATCTCTGCTTAATCCAAGTTAAAATATGGGCTTTGGAGATGTGCTGACAGGGCATCACCTCAAGGAAAGGCTGGTGTTGTCTCAGATGACAGGATACAGTAAGGAGAAGCTGCTGTGTTCCTGGGAGATCCCACAAAGGCTGTATAATTTCAAGGCTGATCCTTCTCTAGGTGCTATTTCATTCCATTCAGAATTCCTGGATAAATTTGTATATTGAAAATATCTGGCTACAAATTAAATGAAATGTTATCCTGAGGATAATTGTTGAGCTACTCACTGAAGACTTGGAGTTAACAGAAGTGGGAGGCAGGGAAGTCTACACTTCTTGGCCTAGCACTCAACCCAAGGACCTTCACCAAACTTATCAAGTAGGAAGAAACTCTCCCAAAAGGCAGATTTTCTTCTTTCATCTTCCTGCTCCCTGTAATTTGAGAAAATGCACTGGATTAGTCGGTTTGCCAGTGTGATCTTTTTATGGCAGAAACCTGTTTTATAAATTCTTACAATACAAAGTCTAAATTAGGACCAACCACATTTAGACTTCTAAGTCAGCTAAGTGACTAGCCTACATATTCAGTGGAAAAGAGTAGCTCTTAGGTGAGGAGAGTTGTTCTCCAGGMGTGCCTGTCACTGTCCATGAAGTGCTTGTTCCGTGAGGGCAAAATTTTCCCACATGGCCAATTTTCAATCTAAGTTAAGACACTCCATGTAATTTGTGCACATGTGGGCAGTAGCTGATCGCCCAAGAGTTACAATACTAGGGCAGTCCCCTTTTATGTAAAATCCCTTCCAGAAGTTTGCTGTTTATGAGTGAATTCACAGATGGGTTCAGGAAAACTTTGTATTGGCTGGTTTTACCAAAAAATGCCATGGCAARCCTATTATAATTGCTCTTTTTCACATAGTTGCAAAACTGTAAATAATGAGTTGCARAGAAATGTCATAGATTACTGATGTAATTGTTTCCATGCAAGGTAAAACACTTTTTCTCCATCATATACACAAATATTAAATCAGCAGTCTCTCAGTTTTAGAGCAATCTACGCCTTAATATTTCTTAAAAGCTTTCTATTAAAAAAAAATCTCAAAATACAGGCTTGCAATGAATTATTTACTGTACCGGTTCTGGTACTCTTGGGGAAGCAGTGTGCTGTTCTGCAGGTAGTCCTGCTGAGCACTGTGATGTATCACACCAGAGTATATTGATGCAGATAATAACGGCATTTTATTACTCCAAGTTTAAATAAGTAGCTGCAAAGCGGCTTCCAGAAAAACATACAAGAAGAAACATAGGTAAACAAACCCCTGATAGAAAAATGTGCTAGTCAATGGTTGTTAAAAAGCAATGTTAATGCCAGAATGAAAAGTGTGGGAAAGTGTTCCTATTTATTTAACTGGCATATATTTCTTTGAGAGCAGTTCAGTATAATCCTGAGTTTGGAAGTCCTCTGCTAAGCTGATTAGAATATGCAGAGTTTACATCTGATTTTACCTGACAATATATGGAGGCAAGAGGCATATTGTGACCCTGTGCGCATGGAGCTGCAACCGAAAGCTCGGCRAAATCCGAGGCGAGGATGTCACCTCCTTTTGGCTGCCGTCCTCGTTCAAGCTTCCTTGCTCCGGGTGTCCCGGGAACTTCACTGATTCGCATCCGAGCTGTGAGCCAAATGATTGAGTGCTCTTTATYGGTGAGTAAATGAACTGATACAATTAAAGAACAGCAAAGACAAAGCATCACAACAGGCACTTCGTCTAACTGAATTTTATGTCTGTTTTCTCCCAGTGTATAGTAGGATGGGAAATGGACTCCAGAAAATACAGTAAAAATAATTGTCTTAGTAATATGCTGTGGCATCCACTATTAAATCTTTCCTAGGAGCTGGAGAGAGTCTACTGCACTTTTCTGTAGAGTATAAAATGTGTGTCAGTGTAAACCTGGGTTATTAGCAAGGTTCTACAATAGAGAAATCTGTCTTAAGGATGTCTTGTAAAAGGAAAGAAATATGCTTGATCTCTTGTTTTTATGGTATGTAAGAAGGGTCTAAAGGAACAGTTTTAAAAGAAAGTGTTTCATTTGTGTTTTATTTGGACTATAAATTCAAAATTCAGATCTCAGCTATCTTCTTTGCCTCAGAAGTTTTCTGCTGACTGGAAAATTCATAGCGCTGCCATACCAAGAATACGAGTGGAAGCTGATTAATTGACATAAAGAATTACTATTTAAAACTTTTTCTGGTTTTGTTTGGGTTAGTGGTATTTCATATGACTGCTTTAGTAAAGCTTAGGCACAGAGATGGTCAGGGTTAAGATTAATCATTCCCTGCCCTTAGAATTATAAGCTGGAAGTGCTCACAGACAGCATGTTTGAAACCTCCAGTGGGTCCTGAAGGAGAATCAGACAGGGAATTTCTCACGTTTTTGTCTAAGTTGAGAATGAGAGAGGGGAACAAGAAGGGAAAATAAGCAGTAACTGTTATCAAAAGACCTTAGACATCTGTACATATATCACTTAGAAAGAAATAATATACCAGTCCAAGGACTCCTTTAAGTGCCTTTGTGAAGAATCAAAATAATGAGATGTTTAGGAGTGGTCATTTAAGATGGGAAACTGCCTGAAAAACACAAGGTGCTTGTATAGGTTTTACTAGAAAGCAAGGTATGGTTTATCACCACTGAATCTCTCTCAGAAGAACAAGGAGAATAAGGTAGAGAATAAGGTACAACTGTGTCTCTTGCTGCTACCCTGAATATTCAGGTAGTGAAATAACCACCACTCAGAWTTTTTCACTATGTTTTCAACACCATTTTTTGAAAGCCACTCTTCCATTAAACCCGTCAGTTTTATAATACAGCCATGATTTCAAAGCACAGCAATGCAATAGTCTGGCTCAAATCAAAGGCAGATTACATATTTTATATTTACTTATTCTCAGGCCTTAACAGTAAAGCTGGTTGTAGGGGGGTTTTTAGAACTTGAATGTGATAAAAAAAGACAACCAAAGTAAGGATACTAAAAGGAAAAAAAAAAAACCAAAAAGACAAAATCAAACAAACAAACAACTACAACAACAAAAGTCAAGATGCCCCAGGATCTTTCCAACAGCCATCTTCCATTTCAGCTATAAATTATAGGTCTGGGTGTAGAAAACATGTGGTGATGCTGTTTGACCTATTTTATGAAGAAAGACAGCTTTTATGATCATAATATAGATTAATCCACAAGTCCTCCTAATTGTTCTACTCTGTCCTTCCTGGACATGTGGTTATGAAGTAGGCAAAAGAGTTTTCTTAGCATAGCGTTTTAACTTTTTTGTATGTGTTGACATTGAGAARATGTCCTACCAAAATCATGAACATAGTTTATTTAAAAGGAAACTCAACCCAGCAACCATAAGCAGCAGGTTGCATGATGAAATTGCAATACGTTTCTAACATGTAGATGATGGCTAGCATCTCAACTCAGGAGGTGTGATATCTGCCTTCCAGAAGCAGCTGCTCTCCTGTCAGTAGCAAATTTCTAGCTCATTCTCTAAGCAATCATTTTAAAATAGCATAATGACCTATCTTTATGATCTAGCCTTTGGGATACGAGAGCACGAGGCCAATTTTAAATAGTATTTAGGTATTGCTYTAGTATATTACTTGTGTCATTTTCTTGGTCAAGTGAGAAGATGCTAAAGTGATAATTTAAGACGTGAGCTGRGAGACAGACCTACAATGTTCTTATGTTCCCCATGACAATGCAAAGATTACACAAATGTACTACCTGACTCTCTGTCTTAGGAAACCTGTGAGAACTCTTGGGCTGAAACCGGCGGGTTTGGATCAACCCTTTTTAGGGAGTCCATTTCAGACCTGTTCAGACTGAATACCCTGCTATGGGGAGGTCCATGAGCGCTGCTTATTTTGGAGCACTTTTCACTGGGCACGAGAGCGGTGGCCGCCCCTATCCGGAGCATCCGCTGCAGCCGTGTGACAGCTCCACGCAGCCGTGTGCTGGAATTCCAGACCTGGAGCGCCAGCGAGTCAAAGTCCTAGTGTTAAAATAACAGGTTGCCCTTATGCCTGCGGCTTAATAACTGATATTGTTCTTTTACGGGGGTGGAAAAAAAGGACCTTCCAGATAAAGAGTGCGAGCAGTCCTTGCTCTAATTACAGTACATTTGAGTAGACTGTGAAATCAGCCCTCCCTCTGCCCCCCCGCCAGAGATTTACCAGGAAATGAACAGTGAATACACTTAGGCTGAAGTGGATCTTTGTACTGCGCAGACTGAAGATTTTTTCTCATTTATTTTTTAAGCCTCAAACACGTTCTTCCTTCCTAGAGACATTTTTCTTTTTCATTAGCATATAAAAGGTGTCCTACGATATTTAAAACAAGCATCCCTTTGAAGCTTTTACATAGTATTACTGCTATCTCACCGAATCATTTTAGAAATTAAATTATTTTTCATCACAGGCCCCAATCCGTAATGCATCTTGCCTAGTTGTTACAGTGCCCYGAGAGGGAATTTATATTTTAAAAGGAAACTGGAAGAAGAAGAGTTTTAAGCCTTACACACCCCAAGCCAGGGTATGGCSACAGTTGAAAACAATGTGATTTTGTGGTATTGCTCATATTGCTTTGGAAAAGGGAAGGTCCAGTGACCTCCAGAAGGGAATCCCCCATTCAGCCTGCACAAGCATGTAGATTTAACGTGGTGAGTTACACTCGCATTAACCTGCAAGTGTACTCAGCTTTGATCTGACAGGAAGGAGGGAGCACACACAGGGACTTGCTCATCAGGAAGCTACAGCAAATTAAACCTGTAGAAACTCAAGTGGGAACCTTACAAATTCAAAATTCTCACAGGAATGCTCCCTTTTTTAACCAGGCTGCTCGTGCAAACTTTATAGATCGAGTCAGAGAGAATTCTGCTGCTCCGCCAGAAGAATTTAAAAAGAAGGACAAGAGCAGTTCAGCTTTTATTAATGACGAAAAGTCTCAGGGATCATTATATATTGAGTTGGATGTCATTTGAATACTTCCCTGGCCAGAAGCAGCGAGGTGGAAATAAATGTTTCTAACAGTAGTTTAAAGTTTTAGTATAGAAAGATTTTGAAGAGCAGCCACAGAGAGGGCAGCAGAAGGATTTTTAAGGGAAGTAAATCGTGAGAAGGAAAAAGAGCTGCTACAGAGGGGCTATACTGAAGCATACTGCTTTACTGAGCTAACTGACTTCACAGCTCTGGTATAAAGTTAAGTGGTACTACTTAAAAAAAAAGTGCTTGAGTTGGTAAAGATCACAAGTTACCTGTTATCCAAGAGGAACTTCTGCTTTCAGAGGAGATAAATTAAATTCCTCAAGGACTGCGTAGCTAAAGCAAAGCAACCACACATGTATGTCATTTACTCTGAAAAA